CAGTTTTCTTCCAGATCATTGTTTGCTCCCACTGCTGTTACTGATTTCCACAAGATGGAGCTATTCTAACACAGATTTGGCAGCAGACCGTGGGGAACAAGTGTGCTACTGCTTTTATTTTATTTTATTTTATTTTATTTTATTTTATTTTATTTTATTTTATTTTATTTTATTTTATTTTATTTTATTTTATTTTATTTTATTTTATTTTATTTTATTTTATTTTATTTTTAATTTCTGTGGCAGTATTTCTGAATTGGGTAGAATTTTATGAAAAATCATCATCCAAAAAAAAAAGGCAAATTCCAGAAGCAACAGCTGGAGCTTAATGCACATTTGGATAGACTGTGTCATCACAAGACCTATTGCAAAAATTACTCCCAGGGGATGGAGATAAATACACTCAAACTGCAGCTTTGTCCCACACTGGAGCAGCTGTTGAGGCGTGCACCCAACTTCACCTTCTGGAGGGTCTGTTTTGCCATGGCTGAGGAAAGTTCCAATGCCCTGTGTCCTGAGTGCATTCAGAGTGGCTCTTTGACACCCAGCTTGCCTGTGGCCCCAGTCTGCAACCATTAGCCCTCTAGGGCAGCAGACTGCCTTTGCTGAATCATAATGACCCTCTCCTGTGACATTTCTGTCCTATTTAATCAATATTTTAAAGTCTTGTTATGTCTGTTTCCATGTGCCGTCTTCTTCCACTGCAGCATCTGCTCATTCCCTCTCTGCTTTACCCCCACTGGCCCCATTCTCCACTGAGTCACAATGTAGATGAAAATTCATGTAAATGCTGCTGCTTTATGATATATATTTGAGAACCTCATGGCCTGTCTTTTGATCAAGTCGTGCTTACAGAGCCAAACACCTCCTGCCCTTGTTGTTGGAGCATACCTTGACATTGCAACCCCTATAAACAGCAGCAGCACAGGGAGAAGCATTTGTCTGGGGATTTTCAGTAGGAGCTGTCAAAGTTAGGGCCAGTTTTATATGCAATGTTTGTAATGCTTGGAAGAAGGGTATCATGAGCACTCCTTGCTCACAGCTTGTGGTGCAAGTGGTTTAGGGCTGTGCTGGCATTGCTGTGAGAAGCTGGTGTTCTCTGTTGGCACACAGGAGATAAGTGCTATCTCTGTGATGAGGTGTTGCTGGCAACAAGTGCCTGCCCTGAGTCCATGGCAGCCCAGGGAGCCAGGGGGCAGAAGTTTCCTTCCCAAGCAACTGCCCAGTGCTGGAGGCTGACTGCTCCCTTTGCCTGCCTCAGCAGAGGGCTAGACAGCTGCTGCTTGTCAGCCGCACTGGGTCTGAAATCCTCCCTGGTGTGTGTCCCGGCCAAAGAAGCCCACAGCAAGATAAGTAGGGGTCAGCTATCTAGGCAGGGGGCTGCCACTGCCAGATATGGTGACACTGCACCTGTCCAAACTCTTGTATGAAATCTTAATTCACGACTAGTGGAGCATAAATGCATTTGACAATTGTTGGTTAGGCTTTTTTTACAGTATGGTTTGACTTCTATCCTTTCTTGTCCCCAAACCTGTGCTTTACAGCGGAGGGAGATTTGAGGGAAATAAAAAAGGCTCTTGTGAACTCCCAAGCAGAATATTGTCCTCTTTGCAGCATCCTTGAGGCAGACCAAAACCTTTGGTACACTCTTAGTACACAGGCACTTACAAGCACCATCTGTCTCCTGCTTTTCAAGACCAAAACAGAGACAGAATTATCATAATTTCAATTTCTTTCATCTGATGACCACCTGGATCTGCTGATAAGTGTGCCTGGGAGGCCCAGAGAGCAGACAGCCTTCAGCCATAAGCCCTTCCAAGGAGCACCTTGCTACGTGTCTTACAGCTGAAGTTTGCTCCTCTTTCTCCCACTCTCCAGTCTGCAACATGAACTGCTTTGAAGTGACTTTGCTTGAGCCACTTCACTGCCACTATGCCACTTGTCCTTTCAGAGTCATTAAAATCCTCTAATATGGGTTATTTAAGCATAGCTTTAAAGGTGTAATTTTCATAAAAGAGTGTGTCTATTTGTGCATGCCTAGCATGCAGTTACTGCATTACACACATGTGTACCCTTGATGTGCTGGCCTGCCTGGCTCAGGCTTGCCTGCACCCATCTAGCTGTGTGGGAGCACAGACGTGCCAGGAGCACATCCAAATACCAATGGCATTTGCTATTGGCCATGAAAACCCGCAGTGTGCAATTGCCTGTGGATGTTCAGGATGTAATTCTTGGGGTGACAAACTGTCTGCAGCTCCTTATGGACTACTGTGCAAATTCCCTGAGACCAACTGGTTCAGATCCCAAAACTCCTGAAGCTGTGTCCCTGGAAGGTTCACCCAGATGGAGGGATTCAGCGAGGGAGAGAGAGCAGGCTGATGGCAGCTTGTGCGAGCGTGGCACAGGCAGCACTGGTTCCAGGAGTCAAAAATGAGTGAGCTGAAGTACATTATTCTGGTTGCAGGCAAGTCCTTGCTTTGGTCAGGTAGCCAGGCTGGAGGATGGCAGAGAGGGAACATCTTGCTTGCTATCATCCAGAGTCAGAGAGGGCTGAAGTCAACCAGTGGGGGTGCCTGTCCATGGACACCAACAGCTCACAGAGCAATAAATGATCGTGTTTCTTTGCCAGAAAGAAGATGAGGCATGTGATATCTCTTGCAAGCACTGGTGCCACAAATATTTGTTCCTTTTATGTGAGAATAAAAAAAAAAAAAACACGCCAGAAGCACCTAATAAATCACAGCATAAATGCTACTATTTGAAAGATCTGGGATAGAAATTACTTGAACTTTCATGACTTTCACATGTCAGGGGTGTGGGTGATTTAGGCTAGTGATTATTCAAGACCCATGTGATTGGACTTTTAGGATTTGAAAGGATTACACATGCTTGTAAAGTGGGTGTTTAATCTCTCTTCCGTTATAACTTCAGTTTGTAAATGTTGAAACTATAAATCATCACACCCTTGGTCCACGGCATAGGACAAACTGTGCTGATTTCCTCCCACCTCAGCTTAGATTAATTGCTTTTCTCCAGTGCTATTAATGCCCTCCAAATTATGACTTTTCCTTTTTTAGCCCACACTGTTGTGTGCACACACACACACATATGCAGGCAGGCATGTGTTTCATAACAGGTTTTTGTGCTTGTGACTCAGAACTGAACTATTAAACCATAACACATGGCTGACATCTGGAATTCTCTCAGACATTTTTGTCATTTGAATATTGGTAGCCATGGTTTGCTACCCTCCTTTCCTCCAAAATATAACTTTCTTTATTCTCAGCTCACAAAAACAAAGCTAGAAGGTTTTACTGAACCTTTTGGTGTCACTTGATATATATATAATATTCTATCAAATCCTGATTTAAAGGCACATGTGTTCACAGAGTTTGGCAGAAAGATCTTACTAAAGAAAGCCTCTGCTTCCTCTTTACATTTGAAATTACTGTGTACCATGAGAATATTCAGAAAAATAATTGTTTTTGTACAGCAAGAGCCTGTGGTTGCTAAGAGTCAAAAGCAGTCACCTGCTAGCTAGCAAAATGGGTTAAGATTTGCAAATGGATTACCTTGGTGTTTGAATATAAGTATTTACATTAATTCCTCCAAATGAATGCCACTCATTTGGCTGGTTTGACAGCAAGATTAAAATACGCTGGTATTTGCAGTAATTTGGAACAGTTTGTCTTAACTGTGTCTCACAGGGTGTTGTGTGCTATTCCCAGGGCTATTTGCCATGAACTAGTACAGTCCTGCAGAGATTAGGATTTTGCATTCTTTTTTAAATACTGTGGGATTGCCACTCAGACTGCTGTAATTATGGATGTGTTAAATTTCACATTGATACCAAGGAAGCAATGAAAACTTCTGTCTATCTGCCACTGTGACAAGTGTCAAGCAAAAGGGGTGAGCTTGGGGAATTGTTCCTGGCTTTGGTTTAGAAAATCATCTAATATTTTCAATTCAGCCCTACAAACACATTTTAAAATTTGAGGATTGTCTGATTTTCTCCTGATATTGAGAAGGATGTAACACAGCTTCACTCATGCTTCAGTAAGAGAAGAGGAGCACTGTCTGAAGCCTATGCTGCTCCCTCTAGGAGTAAATATAGTATGTCTTCAAGGCGCTTTCTTTGCCTGGTGGGAGGCTGTAAAAGAGGGGTGACTGCCACTAAGTTAAAGAAGGTGATCACGGGGGTTTCTGAGGGATGGACATATGAAGATTTGTTGCAGAGGCTTTCTAGTCTCTGGCTATCAGAGCAAAAAGTGGCAGTGGTGGTGCAGTACTGTGATTCCTTTGAAAGCATGCATGTTGTAGCAGAGAATTAATGTCATTTGGTGCAGGTTTTTCATGTGATTCACTGTAAGGCCTCTCAGATTCAGCAAGGAAGGTTTCACCTGCAGCACTTAGTCTGCAGCACATATCTGGCTCTGATGATCACTTGCCTGTGTGCCTGAGCCAGCAGCTTTCCATGTATGTATTTTGTGAAAATTTTTTTTAGCTGTTGTATTTCAGATCTGACTATGTCTGTTCTGTTCATGGTAGATGAGTAAAATTCTCATGTCAGTGGTTCAGAAAATGATTTGTGCTCTGGCTCAAACAGTCAGGTCTCTGACTGTTACTGCTTTTTGGTAATGACAACATGCCAAGGGAGTCTCATTGTGACAGGCTGTGACCCTTAAACACGTGATGGCTGGAGAGCTTGCTTCCCAGGGTTTTCATCCTCACAGTCCTCACAGCTGCACTTCCACTGACTAGACAAGTGAGTACACTATTGTACTCACCTGTTATGATTAAAGTGGAGTCATTTGAACTCCTACAGACTGGTTTCTTCATCAAAAGCCTCTGGTGCTGATGTGGCCCTGAACTGTATGTATCCTTGCAAGAAGGTTTTTCAGTGCACATCGATACATATGCACAGGTTCACTATAGGTAAGTCATATTTGACTAGCCTGATTGCCTGGCTGGATGAGTGGAGAGTAGTGGATATTGTTTACCACAGCTTCAGCCAAGACTCTGACAGCTTCTCTCACAACATCCTCATAGACAAATTCTGGGACGTGGGCTGGATGAGTGGACAGTGAGGTGGATCAAGAACTGACTGAACAACAGAGCCCAGAGGATGACAATCAGTGGCACAGGGTCTAGTTGGAGGCCTGTCCCTAGTGGTGTCCCTCTAGGTTCAATGCTGTACCGTTTAACTTATTCATCCCTGGCTTGGATGAAGGGGCAGGGTGCCTCCTCAGCAAATTCATGAAGGACACCAAGCTGGGAGAAGTGGCCAACACCCCAGAAGGCTCTGCATCCCTTCAGAAGGATCTTGGCAAATAGGAGAGATAGACACCTGGAGTGCTGTTCTGGAACAAGTTCCTCAGGACAACAGAGACATGGGGTTCCTGGAGTGGGTCCAGCAGAGGCTACAGAGATGATGAGGGGTCTGGAGCATCTCTCTTGTGAGGAAAGGCAGAGGGAGCTGGGGCTGTTCAGCCTTAGGAATGGATGACTAACAGGGGACCCCATCAACATGTACAAGGATCTGAATGGAGGGTGCCAAGAGGATGGACCAGGTTCTTCCTAGTTGTGCTGAACAATAGAACAAGAGGCAATGGGCAGAAACTGATGCCCAGGAAGTTCCAACTGAACATGAGGAAGAACTGCTTTACTGTGTAGGTGACCGTGCTGTGGAACACACCCAGAGAGGGTGTGGAGTCTCCCTCACTGGAGATACTCAAGAACTTCTGGTACACAATCCTGTAGCATGTGCTCTGGGATTGCCCTGCTTGAGCAGGGAGGCTGGACAAGATGTAGTCCCTTCCCACCTGACATATTCTGTGATTCTGTATGTTAAAGTAACCTGATTTTAGTCAAAGCAGAGGTCGCCCTCGGTAGGGGTGGCCATGGCCAGAGCAGTACGAGCCTGTCTGCCTGTCTGCAGCCCAGAGCAGGCAAGACCATCTAGTCCATGTCCTCGAGCTGGTATGCAAATATAGCTGTATTTTGATGTAGAATTGTGTTTTTTAGGTTTTATTACATTTATATTATGTATAAGTTTGTTCCATGTACCCCCGGTTCTGTAACGGTTCCCCCCGGGTTTTCCCGTCTTTCCCCGCGGGTCTGTTGTCCCCAAAACTGCCGAGTCACTGTGTTTTCCCCAAATGCCTGTCTGTCACTCGGTATCCCTTCCCCCCACCTGGAATCTTCCACCCGGGACGCCGGGCGATAGACAGACGACCCGGGACCCTCCACCTGTCCATCCTTCATTGGATGTACCCCCGTACCCCACTACCCTCAAACCCCCCATGGCGTTACCCCATTGGCTGCCCCAGTTTCCCCCTGTCCCGTACTTAGTCCGTGCGCACAGTGCGCTCAGACCTTTCTCCTGGCTGGCACCAGCGCGCGCTGCTGCCCGCCCAAGCTGCTCCATGCTTCCTCTGGCCGGCTCCAGCGCGTGCTGCTCCGCCTGTTCGCGCGGCTCCAGCGAATGCCGGCGCGGCCCGCCTGGTTCCCTTCGGATTATTGTTTTCCCCGTTGGATTGCAATAAACGGAATTCTCCCCCCGGAGAAAGCCTCTCTTCATTAAATCGCTGTGGGGTTCGCTGATTGCTCTCCGAACCCAAACAGTGCTGCCCAAAGCCCGCGAGGGTTCAGCGGGAAGCGCTGGAGATCTGCCCGCTCCCCTTCTCCCCAGGGCTAGCCAGGGCAAGGGAAAGCAGAGGGGAGAAGAGCGCACCAGCATTTTAGCTGCTGACAGTTCTGCTAATGGATTATGTGGGTACACAAAAGTGATGTGCAATAAACAGCAATCAAAACTGTGTCATCAGGTTGTCAAAATCAATCTCATTGATTTTGATATGGCCAGACATACTACTGTTAATCTCATTATAAGGGTTTGAGCTTATTGTTATGGTTATCAGGTGCTTCTGATTATCAGATTCTGATAAAGTGTGATACCCTGTGTTGAACACTTCCTCACCAGATCTCTGAGTCAAGCTGATTTTGCTGTAAAATTTCAGCCAAAACAATTGGCTGGTTTTGAGCACAGATTCTGTGCACATAAATCCTTGTCGACACCCTCTCCTGCAGTGACCCATGCTTGCTTCCACCCTTGGAGTGGCTTGGTGTGGCCACATGCCCTGGGACTGGCACTGGCCCATACTGATTTCTCTGCCACCAGCCAAAGTGTGTGCTGTCCCCATGGAGCCCAGCACTGTGCTTCATCTTGGGGTGGGTGTCTGTGCTTTTCCAGTCTGGGGTGGTATAGGAGGGACTGTCTCTGTGTATATCCCCCACTGAGGACTACAGTTTTGGCTTGCTTCTTGTAAAGTGAAAATTATTGCTTCCCACACCTCCTTACCCCTTGCCCATCTCCCCAGGTTGCCTTGAAAATGAACATGTTATTTCTGAAGCACTCACGTATTGTAGTGCCATGGGAGAAAACAGGCAGAAATTAATTAGTCTGTCTTCAGAACAGGGTTTTAGGGATTATAGAAAATAAGCCTGTTAATCATTGTGGAGAAGGTAGAATGGTCTGAACAGGGTCCTCACTCCCCCTGGGTACTTAATGACATGTTTTCACAAGAAAAAAATTGTAAGATCACGTTAATTAAAGGCTATGCCAGAATGCATATGTATGAGGGGGGTAATTGAAGAATGCTGAATGTCTGCCAATTTGACATTACCTAAATAGCTTGATTTTTCAACCACGGTAATATTCTCATATTTATGTATTTTTTTGGGACACCATATGAAAGAAAAATATTTAAGCAAAATAGCATACTGAGCAGAGTAATTTACAACAGCAGGGTTTCTTGTTACTCTGTGCCTGATGCAGAAATTGGAAAAGGATAGCAAAAGAAGCAGGGAAGGAATGGTTTTGTGCATCATACATAAAAAGGTACTGTAACAGTGGTGATCTGTCTGTCATTGTAATGAAGTCAAGCATTTAGAATAATATGGTTTCATAGCAAGACAGTATAGTAGAGCTCTGTAGAACTGAATCTATCATGTTAGTTATCTACATGAAACCACAAAGTTAAATATTAATTTTATTAAATAGTGGGTCACAGGAGACAGGATCATGGTATGGGTTTTCTAAGTTCCTAGCTGCCTTTGTCTCCAGCTTGTTATTTATTAGAGCTCTGCACAGCTCTGTGGGCTCCATGCAGCACTGGGCCTGCAAATTCATGGTGCAGTCTTCCCCGGGCTTCTTATTCTTGTACTGTGCTGTCAGACACAATATTCAAAGACATCAGTCTCTTTAATATCTCTGGTTTCTCTGTATATGTCCCAGTAGAAAAATAAAGGTGATTCTGCCATTCTGCAGCTAAGAAGCCCCAACACAAGATGTGATCTCTGTGTCTGTTCCCTTCTTTCCTTGAGCTGGCATCTTATGGCTCATTTCTTCACACCTCCCTTGAATTTCCCTGTGCTGTTTTGTCTTATGTTTCTGAACTAGGTCAAAAGCTTTGGCCAGATAGTTTCCAGGCAGAATTACTTCTGCTGGGACACCTCTGAGGAAAAAGAAAAATCTGATTAAACATAGGAAAACCAAACCACACACAATGATTATGCCTGAATCTGTTTGAAGGTCAGATGATTTTTCAGATTATTTAAAACCATGAAATTGAGCAAGGGCAGATATGCATCATTACTCAATCTTATCTTCATTGCCCTGGATGCCTTTGATCTCCTTTTGTCCTTCCCCTGTTTGTTTATGCTCTTCCATGCCTTTCTTCAAAATAGACTGTAAAGCCTCTGGGACAGTGATCAGTGGTGTGTTGGTAATGGGAAGGACAGCCTGACTCCCTCATCTTGCCCAGTCTTAACTGTGGGAAATGGTGAACACTGCAGTGTGGACAGCAACAATGGGTAAATCTTGTGAATGGGTAGATGAGTACTGAAATTTACCAGTTTCAACACTATGCCTGAGCATCTTATCTGGATTGCTTGATGGCTGGGAAGTAGCTGCTTGGAGCACCTATGCAGCATTCAGGAGCCAGCCTGGCCAGCACTGTAACCTGTTACTGACCAGAAGCTTTGGCCAAGGGACATCAAAAATCTATTACAAAAAAGAAATTAATCATAGAAACATCACATGTTTGTAGCCTTAGGTTTTGTATAATTTTCACTCCAAGGGGATGTTCATAAATAGTTTCAATTACTGTTGCAGAAGCAATGATCTTCAAGACAATTGCAAACAATAATTATAGAAGTATTAAATAAATTATTGTCAGATTTTATATGTACAAAAAGAATGTTATGAGGAAGAGCTAGAGTTAAGACAACCAGTGGAGCAATACCAGAAGATTAGCCTAGAAATGTGCATTGATCTTCTTAATGTTTTTAATTGTGTTTAGTGCTTCAGGGAATAACTTATGTGAAGAAGTTGTAATGCTAAACTAGGGATGAACAGTTGTGAGAGACACGTCTGAAATACCTGGCACAATGCAAAAGCCCAAACTGAACCAGAAATGCTACTTAAAATGCAAATATAAAATAACTGTAGCTGTTTTCCCCAAAGACTATTCTCTAGACTTTGCTACAGTGGTTAAGGGACATCTTAACTCTTCTTCACATTTTACTTTCCCCTTGCTTGGTTTTTGACTCTGTCCCTTGCTGTGAGGAAGAACTGTGTGTGTTAGTGCTTGTGTCCATGGAATTATTTAAGGTGAAATGTGCTAAAACCCAGGAGGAAAGCAGAAGCAGTGGCTACCAGTGCATTTAAATAGGAGATTTCTTCATTTGGGTTGGTACCGCCTTTGGTACAGATTTTTGCAGTTATCTTGTATTAGGCATGATGACTTATTTTTGAGAAAATATCATCCCTCATTAGTAGCATTTTTATTTCTACCTCACCACAGGTAGATATAAAAGACTGGACTGTGTTTTTATAATCAGGGGAAGTGTAGGTGAATTCATTATCAAGAAAACTGCTCTACTCAACAGGGAGGCTGAGAAACTTATAAATCAGAACTGAAGATGGCTGTGAGAGGTTTGTCTGAGTTTGGTTTTTGTCCATCACTACTCAATATTTTAGTGAAGTAGAGACAATTCATTAGATTTGCAGGTAACACCAAGGTTAGAGTGCTGTGATCATATCTTAGAAGGGTTTTGAATTGTAAAGGATCTCATTGGATTAAAGATATGGACTGGTAAGTGGTGGTGTAAATAAAGACAGTCCAAAGCTCTTGCCTTCTCAGAAGCTATTAGATGAACAGGCACAGGTGGAGAAGTTCTAAATGAGCAGGAATTGGGAGGAATGGTATTCTGGGGCACGTTTTTAGTTTCAAAAGTGAATGTGAGGCAACATTATCTTCCAGTTGCAGAGAGATGTAGAAAAAGTGCCAGTAAGGTTACTAGCGTGAGCTCTAGAAGGCTGCACTGAGCCTGTGACAAAGCAGCTCAGGAGCTGTGTTAACAGCAGAAAAGTTGGGCAGCAACTGGAAAAAGTTCATAAAGAAGTGGTATGGAATACAGCAAATAATTGATGGTGAAAGACTGAGGACTTTCCAATGGAAAGAATGGGAGAATGAAGATGGAATAAAAATGTCTTGCTGCTGCAGAACTGCTGTGGAGTAAGGGAATGGCAATTTGTAAACAGCAGTGAAGAAGTTTCTGGTTTTAATATAGGAAATGCTTTCTGGTGGTGGTGATGTTGAACTGCAGGAATGGGATGCCAGTTTGTAAGAACCATAGGGAGACACATAAATGACACTGGAGCAGCTGATTCTGCCTCAGAGCAGTGGTAAGAAGTCCATAGCTTTTCAAATTATTTTCAGCTGTATGCTTCTATGAGTCTACAACACAAATATTTCAAAGTATTTTGCACTGAGCAAACTGAAGGAGAGGACAATGTTGCTTCAGACTTTTCTTGGTAGGTCAGGTAGTATAGCTTTTCCCTCCACAGCAATAGGTGTCTCGGCCCATTTTCAAGGATGGTGGTGCAGGATGAAAGGGAAATATAAGAAACTTGTATTCTGAGTTTCTTCTGCAATTAATTGTGGCTGCACTCTGACATGGACAGAATGTTTGGAATCTCACCACTTCCAGTGTGGCTTTGTACTGAGCTCTAAATGTCACTGCTTCCCATTGACTCTCATTTTTTTGTGTATGTTGATGAATGTAATACTAGACTTTGTAGTATGTAGCTTGTCTGAACAAAGGTAACTATCAAATGCAACTTGTTCAGAACTTGGTCCAAGCTGCAGCTAGATTTGGCAAATAAGCTTTTGTGAGTTGGTTTCATGGTAACATGAACTGTGCAATTCCTAGAGGGGAAACAAAAAGCTAAGAATAGTGTTGCTGAGAATGTGGCTTTGGTGGTTTTTCTTAGTAAAGAGGTAGATGCGCAAGATGTAGCCTGTAAAAGGGAAGAAGAGATATGTGAGTGGGTATATGGGAGAAACTGAAAATTCCAGGTGAGATCTAGTGGTTTGGGAATATAAAAAAGTAGACAAGATCTGGGACAGACCCTTGTGCCCAGTGAGGGAGGAGGAGCCTCAGCCTTGTCCCCCAGAGGGGCCCAGCTCTGCCAGCCCCGTGGGCACAGAGGTGGCAGCAGAGGCAGTGCTTGCCCTA